TATAAATAGTACAAACAAACAAACAAACAAACAAACAAACAAACAAACAAATAAATAAATTTAGTGACTATTCAAAGTTACAGTGGCCCTGAAAAGAATGACTTGTGACCGTTTTTTTTCCACATTTATGACCATTGCAGCTTCCCTGTGGTCAAAATTCAGACACTTGGCAACATTTATGACCGTTACACTATCCCAGGGCCATGTGATCAACTTTTGTGACCTTTTGACAAGCAGTTAATGGGGAAGCCAGATTCACTCAACAATCGTGTTCCTAATTTAACAACTGCAGGAATTCCCTGAACAACTGTGGCAAGAATGGTCATAAAACGGGGAAAAATTCCCTTAACAACTGCCTCACTTAGCAGCAGAAATTTGGGGGCTCAATTGTGGTCGTATGTTGAGGACTACTTGTCCTGCAGGTTGGTCAATGCGTCGTAAGATCCTGAAAAATCACACTTCCCCCAAAAATGACATGTCTGGGGGGAAGAATGGTTACCTATAAAGATCTCGGGGTTGCTGAAATTCAGACAACTGCTAGATGTGGGTTCCATGATTTGGATCTCATTCACTTGCAGAAACCCAATTTTCCACATAGAAGCAAATTCATCCTTCTCAGGTAAGGATAAATTAATATGGTAAATTGTATCCAGGTAGATGGAAAGTACTCTGAGTTTTATAGGCATGGAAAACAGCAACCTCTCTTTCTTAGTCAGTTACTGGCATATTGTGAACAACATTTTAGATATGTACCTACACTGACAGGCAATTACAGATGAAAAAAATGAATGGTGTTAATTGACTCCAGCTTACAAAACTCTCCAGAAGATTGTGTAAAACCCACAGTAATGTCATTCTAATCAGAGAATCCACATTTGACTCCAAAGGAAGCAATTAAGACCCACAATAAAAATATGTCCTGACCAGGCTCCTATGCACATTTACATGCTACATTCTCTCTTTCTCTCTCTCTCTCTCTCTCCATCCCTCCCTCCCTCTCTCTCTCTCCTCTTTTCTTTCCTGCCCAATAGCATTTCACTGTTCTCAGAGATTTCCATCTGCATTGCAGTATTGCTACATCCCTCCCCCCGCCTGGTTCTTTCCAAAATATTTTGTGCACATCTGTAAATTCCGGTCAATTAAAATGGAGAAATCCATCTATTAATTCAATTAATTGCCATAGCTTGGAGATTTCTTCGTGACGTGACCTCAATATTCTGCAAGTGCCAGAGAAAAGTCGCTTGTTTAACACTTTTTTTGTGCTGAAACAACTGAAAGATAAGATGTGATGGCAGTGGCAGTAACTCACGGGATGTGAATACATTAAAGAGTTTCATTATGACACGAAAACCAAATATGGCTACTGAATTTATGACTGGATGTTTCTGAAGTAAATGGCAAGACATTGATTATCAACGATGGAAATCAAAACGAAAGTGGAAGTAATGTTAAAAACAACACGGATCCTGTATTTAACGCACAGGGCAAAAAAGTTAGATCTTTATCTGTGTAGAACATGTAATTACAGTTTAAATTAGAAGTAAAACAACAGCGGATCTTTGAAATTTATTATAATAAAAAATGTTCTGCTGTACGATACTTCATCGCTAGAAGCCCTTACCTTCACAATAGTTGTGCAATAAGTAGTGTTGGGTTAGATATTTATAATAATGAATTTTAATTAGTCTAGACCTAAGTTGACTTGGCATGTTCCTAAGAAGGATTTTCCAAGATGTATTGAGTTGAGATGTGATGGAGCCAACTCAGTGACAGAGTTCAGAGCTGAACTCTATTCCAACTAGATCCCAAAGATCAATCCCTAGTATTGATAGCTGAAGGGACACTTACTAATCAAGATATTGATCAGTAATGTAGAACGAAAACGGTTAAATAATTCTGTTCATTGCAATTCCTTTCTGTTGTAAAAAGCCATTTGGCATTTTCTTTCCTGCAGATGAGTTACACTTATTTAAGAGAAGAGTTTGTCTTTTGACTTTCATTGTTATGTTTCATTAATGTGTAAACTTTTCACAGTATAATCTTGAAGTATCATTGCTTGATTATGTTAGAAGGATAGTATTTCAGAAGAAGTGCAACATATTTGATTTCTTTGACTGTTAAGAAATTAATCACAAGCTTTTGAAGCAATCCAAGATTGAAACACAAAGGTGTGGTAAAATATATTCCATTTGACACATACTATAATTACTATAACTTTTCCGAATTCACATGCATTCTATATCAATGTTAATGGCTTCTGATGTTCCCTCCCAAAGATTGTCCAACTGTTCCATCTCTCAGGCTGGGGGGCGAAATTATAC